CTCTGGCTGTGTCCCCAGCGTCCTCTGAGCGCCCAGCCGAGCACAGGTGTCCAGTCAATACTGGGGAAGGAAGGCACGTGCGGATGGTGGAAGGGCCAGCTGAGAAGTCCCGAGCCTAACACACCCTAGAAGCAATGTGGTTCTGAACTTCTGGCCGGAAAGGCCTTTGCCTCCAGACATGCAGCCACCCAAAGCAGGCGGACTTAACACCTTCCAGACGTTTCCCAGACCACACCACTGCCTCTTAATGGAGAATTACCTAGTTTCTAATGCGGGGGGCCCTCTCTGGATGACCTCACTGGGCCTCCGTTCCCCATCTGTAGGGGAGGCCATGGACCAGCCCTCTCTGAGATCCCATTCCTGCTCCCCGCAGAGGTGGGGCACATCAGTGACTTCAGGTGAGCCCTGCAGCAGGATCCACCTCCTGGCCACCCGATGCCCACCTCCAGCCATCTGCCTGGCCTTCCAGCCCTTGCCCACTCTTTCCCAGGTGGGCATTCCAAGCCTTACCACTGGCTTCCAGTCTGGTCCCAAACAGTTAAGGAGAGAACTCTGTTTCCCAGGGCAACAGAATTCCAGCATTAACATTTCCATCTGCAGAACAAGGGCTTTTACTTCCTGGGAAATGCCTTTCTAGTCCCATGATGACCACACCCTTGGAGGCCAAGAGCTCTTGAAGGACTGGCATTGGCCTTGAGATGCAGGTTGGCCAATGAGGGAGATGGAGCCCGGAGACCACCTCCGATGGCCATGAAAGCGAGGCCCCAACAACTACAGGGACACCAGGGAGAGGGCCTGCTTCCTTGAATCACCAGCCTCCGGGTCATAGAGCTGGGCTGCTGAGTGCAATCCACACTACTGTCTTTCCCGGGCCTCAGTGTCTCAGCTACAGAATGGCATGGTGACAGAAGTTGGCTCGTGGGCTCATTGTGGAGGGCCGTGAAGAGGATAAGTATGATGGCTTACCGTGATGCTCAGTGAGAAGAAGCTGCATCCATCCAGCTCTTTCCGCAGACCTCGGAGGACTCTCAGCTTGTTCGGGCTGCATGTGAAAACCCAGCTGGGCCAGGCCACGTAGTTTTGATCTCTGATTTGTTGTATGGCTGGTTCTCTATGGCCTCTCTGGGCCAACGTGCCCAGAATTGAGGGACCTTGCCCTCCCACTGACCATACTTTGAGTCCCCAAGTTGCCACACTGGGGAGTTCACCATCTCCGGGCCGGCGTCGGGGCTGTGCATCCAGTCCCCCCTCTTTCCCATTCACTGGCGACTTTACTGACTTTACCAGGGCCCTAGGGAGACTGAGGTCTAGAGGAGGGGAAAAGATTGGCGGGGGGCACTGTGAGTGTCCCCACGGTGTTGGGCACATTACCACCAGAAGTCCCCTTCCTCCGATCTGCAGATGCTAGGCTTTCACACAAGTGTGGATGCACCCTGAGCCTTCCACAGATGCTGAGGCAGCCATGGGTCTGTGCCCAGCACCCACAGAGCTCCAGAAAATGCTGAGCAGGAAGAAGACTGAGTCGGGAGGCAGGAGGGCCAAAGGGGAGCTGAGGAAGCAGTCAGAGCCTTGAAGGGCCCAGCAGGAGCTGGGACAGGGCATGTACAAGAACCCAGCCCCTGGAGACCCTCTCCAGGTCAGGGCTGGCCTGTGGGGAGCACTCTTCAGCTCAGAGCCTGGTGAACAGGCCCACAAACACTGTTGTAGCCCTCTGCCCACAAAACCAGGCTTCAACTAGCCCAGGACAAAGTACTGCATGGGGCGTGATGTGAAAGGGGAGGTGTCTATGCGGCTGAGGTTAAGGGGGAGGGGGCTTCTATTTTGCAAGAGCCCTCACCCTGTGGGCACCTGAGCACCTCTTCCAGTGGGACTCCCTAGGGACAGGGCTTACTAGGGGTCAGTTCCATCCCATTCAGAGGGGCTGGCCCCAGCCAGTAAGGGCAGCATGCCTGGAGGAAGGAACTGAGTGGGCTTTGGACTTGGCCAGGTCTGGCTGGGGATCCAGACTCTGAAAATCTCTTGCCCCTCAAACTCTGGGTCTCTGTCTGTATAGCCCCCCCCACCCCGGGGTCAGTGGTCACTCAGGCAGCATCATCTCTAGGGGTTTGGCTGTTTAGTGACAAGGTTAAGGCTCTGGCCTCTGTCTTTTTCACATCAAATGAGAAAAATGTGCAGTTTGGCACATGTTCATGGAACACCCATGTCCTTGTCACCAGGATGGCATCTGTGACTTCAGGGAACACCCTGGCCAGTGAGGGCTGCTCTGTTCCAGGCACTGGGGGTGATGAGGGTTGGGAGATGAGACAGACATCCCCACAAGTTAATATCTTACCTACATAGAAACGGAATAGCATAATAATTATCAGAAGGCAAAGGAGGTGTTGAAGGCCATGGTGAGACCCAGAGGGCAGAATGCTTTGGGGGGGCCATGACTTGACAGCGGGGAGAGGTCATCTTGGGTTAAGAGGCCAGGGAAGTCGTCTTTGTGGAAATGGACATTTACACGGGGTCCCTGGGAGACCTGTGCTGTCTGGGCTTCTACTCTGCAGCAGAAAACAGGTCATGAGGGCCACCCTCCCTTCGTCTCAGTCAGCAGGACTAGAGATAAGGTACCTGTGGCCTAAGCTGGCGTTGGCATGCGACAGACCCTTTGACCTGGCTGGTCATCCCTCAAAGTGGCCGGAACCCTCTCTCTCCAGCTTCTGCCCTCACTGGCACTCAAGAGGCTCTAGCTGGAGGGTGGCCGGATGACCTGCTCCCCAGCGGGCTGTGGGTACCTTTGGAAGTCAGAGTCATGGGGGTGGGGCAGGGGCAGAGCACGACTCTAATGTGGCTGCCAGGTTTTCTGATGTCACAAACCACCTGGTCTTTCCCTGGGGGAGTAAATTGCAAGGTGGGGGTGGGGCTATTGGCTTGAGGCAGCTGAGAGAGGTTCACAGGGCTGTCCAGGGTCAAACCCTCCTTGAACCTCGGCACTCAGACTTCTGGGGTCCCAGTATCAGCTGGGACACCTGCCAGCATGGGGCCTCGGGCAAGTCTCTGGGGTCTCCCAGCTTTGAATTCCTGCTCTGTGAAGTACCCATAATAGACCTCCCTCCACAGGGCTGGCTGATGGCGGATGAGATGATGAAGCTTGTGCAGCACTTATCACAGTTGGGGCCCAACAGGCCTGACCACCTGTCAGGGTGCCAAGAGGCTCAGTCCCAGGAACAATTTCCCCAGACTTCTCTCCCCCACCCCAAGCTTCCCAGCCCTGGGACCTCCCAGGACCCCTGCACTGTTTCCACCCAGCCATGGCCCCAGGAATACCAGGACCGTGCAACCCTCCTCCCCAGAGAGGCTGCCCAGTTCAAAGGGCAGAGGAGCCCACCTGGACCCGAGACAGAAAGCCGCGAACTACACTACCCAGAATTCCTGGGGCTAGCCAAAAAGGAAATGTCGTTTATGCAAGGAGAGGCTCAGCTCCCCCCAAGCTGCAGAGGGAGAGAGAGGGGGGAGCCGGGGAGAGGGTTAGCTAGGGGAGGGCGGGCTGTGTGCGGGGAGCG